AGGTGGCAGGGTGTTGTCCATGAGTTTTGGGTGGCAGGGAGTTGTCCATGAGTTATGGGTGGCAGGGAGTTGTCCATGAATTATGGGTGGCAGGGAGTTGTCCGTGAGTTTTGGGTGGCAGGGAGTAGTTGATGAGTTTTGGGTGGCAGGGAGTTGTCCATGAATTATGGGTGGCAGGGAGCTGTCAATGAGTTTTGGGTGGCAGGGAGTTGTCCATGAGTTTTGGGCTAACAAAATCGACAACACAAGTTTTTGTAACCTTTAAAAAGTCACGTTTTTGGGGACCATATCTCATCCAGTTGTTGCATGCCTGATTATTTTTAACCTAGCATATGCAGGTAAAAAGCCCTCTTTATCAGTACAGATTTGAAGTTGCAATTCCGTGTGACATAGGGCTATGATGTTATGGTCATTTGAATTTCATGGCTTCACACATATGGACCCGTGTGCATTGAGCACATCGACAGAAAGAGCATGGAGTTCTGGTTGCCCTGTCTCCAGAAAAATATGCTTGCTATTGTCACAAAATTGGTGTCAAAGTGACCACAAGATGTTGAAAACGTCAAAAATGAAAAACACGCCTTTGAAATTTGGACGTAGTGATAAATACTTCGTCCATGAAATATCTGTTTCACTCTTAAACAGAGCACTTTAAAAATCTGTGGTATTGCAAATTTCCAAACATTTCCAAATTATTGAAAATCATCCTGTCACTTGTCTTTTCTCTTATTTGTAACTGCCAAATTTGACATAGCGATAGAGTGTTCTGTGTTTAGAAAGATTCTTTGATTTTTTGTTGTCAAATCCTGTACAGCAAGTGACGTGTCGGTTGGTGCACAGCGACGGGAGCCAGGAAGAATTCCCACTGAATCACAGTATGAACGAGGGACAGATAGAATGGTTCAAAGCAGGCAGTGCGCTCAACAGGATGCGCATGTTATTGGAATCAAGCTCATAAGGAAGCCAGACACCAACATTTCTAGAATGCACGGTCACAAGCTAGCCCTCTGGACAGGTCATCATAATTTAATCTATACGGTTTTGTAATAAATTTGTTTTTAAATAACATGCTCTTTACTTAGGTGAGTTTTGAAATTATACATTTGCCAACAGAAAGAAATTTATTGATTGAATATTGCCGAAAATGTTTTCTGATGAGTCACGACTTGATACTCTGAACTTGTAAAAAAAAGAAATACGTAGAAATTTATTGAACACTTGTTTTCAAATGACTACTGAATGGGCAGATGTTTGTTGAATGTACAATGCGTCATCTACATTACTCCTTGTGATAGCTTTTTTTTTCCCGTCTGGATTGCAGTGATCTCTAATTTGGAGACCCACACATTAGTTTTCACATTTGCGTTCAAATTTGCAAATTTATGCTTCATTGCCATTACATGAAATAACGTTCTGTGTGAATATGTGAAGTCTACTGCAACCGATAGGTTAGGACAATCCAAATCGTACCTGACATTTGCTGTGTGGTTGGTTTAGTGCCCATAGTCCAACCTGTCAATAGGCTCTGTTAGCTCAAACGAGTGTGGCTTAAAAACTGCTCGACTATTAAAAAAAGGCATACAGAGCAACATATCACCATGGAAAATACCTTGCTTTTTTTTACTCCCAGGAAGGGCACGTAATCTCCAATGCAGTTGAGCTTGATTTGCGTGAGCCACAGTTTGGTTTTTTTTCTTTCTGATTGAAAAGAAATTCCATTTTAAGTACATGTATTTATTAGTTACTGACATGACTCTTTTCACGATTTGATATCCGTTTTGCTCTTTATGTTGACTATTTCAAATTCGAAAAGTTTCGTACAGCTTGGAAGGTCAGTTCTCCTTGGCTTTCCTGTCACGCACTGGCAGTTTATGAAATTAAAATGAGGGATTGATTTCTGTACGACTTATGATGGAGCTAGATCTTTTCAGGTTAAAAAGCAATCAAAGCTTTGTTGTTTATATATCGCAACATCTAGTGCTAGAAATATTCAGAAATGGTGAATTTTGAAAACACGGAATGTTGATTGTGGAGACCATTTGGATACTAACAAAAGGAATGTTTAATGTGATTACCAGAGACTACAGTGGCTGATGAGAGTCACTGTCCCCATGGAATGAAGATCCCTTGTTTTCTGTACAATTTCTTCCACAATCCTTTGCAGTCCACCATCTTTGATGTTGGGCTGTCTTCATATGGTAGTTTTGTGGCTATGACTTCTGTTTTGTGCCATTAGTGTGTCACAGTGGAAAGCCATAGGCACAGTCGGACATCAAAGGTGGCATATCAAACTTGATTGTGTGATGAAATGTCTATCAATGCAAACTGTGTATGGTAACAGTATTATGTAATGCTTTTTTTCATCCAATTGTTACATATGTAAAAGCTACTCCAAAGTTGTCACTTTTCCTCCACTTATTAAAAAGTGAAATATGAATTCACCTTGGCTAAAGTTGCACTTTATGTTTAGCACAAATCGTTAATTTAAGCTCACGTGTTCTAGCAATATTAAAGTTGCACCCACTGCGTGAAATGTGAGAGAAATTGGTGTAAATACTACACGAAGCAACCTAACTTGGTCATCTCATTGGTAGTGGTAAGCCACTGCTTACTTGGTTTCTATTCTTTCTTGTCAGAAAATATAAAACAAGTCATCAGGAGGGGACGTAGAACATTTCACATTTACATATTTCAAATTAAACAATTTAATAGCCAACAAAAGTGCAATCACACTTTGAAAGTGTTTAGTTCCCTTGTTTCATTGTACGCTTACAGGGACAAGAAACCAACATTACTGGTCGTGTCTGCCACGCACTAATAAATATCTCTCATGCTCAGGTTTTAAAACACAGAGGTATACAAGTGATGCTACACGGTACATGTCAGTTGTAAAGGCAGAGTGTATGTACATGTAACTTCTGTTTTATTCTGTGGTTACCTCACACAAAATACTTCCTAAAGACTGATTGAATAAATATGCTAGAGAAACATTTTGGTTTATAAGGGATGCATGATATACTTTGTGTTAACAGTTATAAACTCTGAATACAGTTGAACCTTGCCAGTAGGAGGACCTTTAGCCTTTGCTGATGACCTTGTTATAACAGGAACGTTATATTAGAAATGAAATCAGTGGAATCAAAGGATTGAAACTTAAAAGTTTCCTTGTTACAAGCAGAGTCTTGTATTAACGGCACTCTTATTAACGAGGTTCGGCTGTATTTTCAAATTGCACAGTTTGTCCTAAGCTATTCTTAGCATAGACTCGTCAATCTTGAAAAGGACAGTTTCTACCCTCTGCATCTACAGTGCATGTTCTCATTGTCGCTAGATTCAACTGGATTTGATGAATTTGTTGATGGCTCGGTACCACCGGCAAGAATTCTATGTAACAATTAACTAAAGTGGTATTTGATCATAATGCTGTTAGCCTGGAAAATGTCTTGCATTACAAATGCTCACATGAGCTTAGGAATAAAAAACCAAAAAAAAAAAAAAACCCGAATGTCAACATGCATGCGTAAATGCAGCCATTTTGAGGTAAGTTGCCATTTCCATAACTTTAAAGCCCTGTGCAAAATTTCCATAGACTTCTGAATTCTCCCAAATGGAATATCCAACCAATGACACATATGAATATACATGCTTGTATATAGCACTTGGACCAAATATAACATTCTATTTCTAGTGTGGTTTGATATTTTAGTGTAATAATTTGCATGATGCATTACCATCAACACAGGTTAGAACCTTGCATTTGATTGGAGATAAAGTATTTGGAATGATTAGAGTTGCCTGGTAAACTGTCCTGAGAAAGTACTGAGAAGAGAGATTTAGTAGCAATCTAAGAATTTGCTGTCACTTTCTTCAGTGCCAGCAAGAATATCGTGAATTAATGAGAGTGGCTTCTCTCCATTAATGTGTCCTGTTCTCGTTTTCTCTTTCAGCAGGTCCACCAGATTCATCTCTCGGAGTTCAACCTGTGTTTTCTCCATGAATTCGGCCAGGCTTGAATCATTCAGTCCGCTCACGGCCATCTCTGTTTGAAGGCATTTGTACAAGTCCAGAAGCATCTGACATGCCCGTCTAGCTACGGTTGGATCTTCATCTTCTAAGACTGCCGCAAGTCTGCCAATCAGCGCTTCCTCTTTGAGGACGTGCACAAAATTAACCAGCGATGTAGTTGGGTCATCAGGAATTCTGGTAACTTCACACAAGTCGTTTTTGTGAGACTTGGGTAAGTCCCGTTGAGAATTTTGTATCCTTCTGTTCATGTCGGGGGGTGTGGTGTCATTTCTTGTAGGCAAGTACATTTCGAGTAGAGTTTGCCAGAATATCAAAGCCCCGTGCTTTACTTCCCAATCCCGATCAAACATGGCAGATGAGATGGCACACCGTATCTGTGAAGCCATGGACAGTTTCTCGTGCATGTTACGCGGGCCAGCATGTACATCTGCCAGAGTGTCAACATTGCTTGCTTGCTTTCTGGTGCGTAACTTGTCAGAGGAGTCTTGGCACTGAACACGGAGGCCTGTCTGTAACCATGGAAACACACTCAGCCATTTTGTAAATGCATTCACTGTGGCTCGGCGCATAAATGATCCTTGGCTATCATCGAGAATGAAGTTGACAAACTCTCCGACCAATGAACACTGGAAGCAAAGGAAGACATTTACAGAGGTTGAGAAAATAGGATTTTGTAGGATTAACACTGTCTCCTTCACAATGCTCGTAATCAGATGTGGATACAAGATCACCCAAACTACCTTTTGGACGGGAAAGCCGATAAGACGTCATCAATTTGTCTAATTTAAAAGTTCAAACATCCTACTTTCATCTGAGCACTGCAGTTTGCAGGAAGTTAATTAACATGGACTAAGTTTTGCCCAATGAAGGGATACAGCTGTTTTCATGCACCACTTAACAAGTCGAGAATTTGGAATCCCGTTATTTTGTTGGTAAATAGACTGGTCTTGGAAATTCTTAAGAGGAGAAGTGCACATCACTGCATGAGCTGGCACCCGTTATGAAACTTACTTCTGCATTTGTCGACAGATTTTAGGTTCACTGCTCAAATTGGATGTAAATTTAATTCACCTTAATGACATAAAGTCTTTTACTTTGTTTGGTTTTTCTGTTTTTTGGGGGGTGATGGTTTTGTCACGGTGAAATTGAAGTCTTGAATCACTTCGACCCACCTCTGTCTTTCCAGTCTGCTGCAACAAATCCAACCAGAGTTCTTGCTGTCTGGAGATGTCAACCAATGCACTCATTGCTGTGGCATTCACAAAGCTTTCCCCATCATGAATGCAATCCACGATATGCACATGGAATTTGTAATACTTGAACCAGTCACAAAATGCATCTGGGAAAATACGTCAATGTTCAAATCAGTACAGATTAGACAAAGCGACAGGTTAAGAGCACTTTGGTTTGAAATTGCAATGGAAGAAACCGAAGATGTAATTTTGGTGGGCAAAAGGAGCCCAATTTATGGAACTGTCCTCATGAACATATCTGCCATCATTTCAGGCAGGTTCAAGATTACATTATCTTCATCAACCTCTGGAAGATTGTATCAATGAAATAATGTTAGCAGCTTTTACAGAATGGTATAACATTGAGTTAACATGAGGAGTCTGAGAGGTTGTGTCGTTATGTATTCTGTTAATGGGAATAGATACGTGATTCTGGTATCATAATTTCACTGCATTTGAATTTACTTGTGAGATTGAAAAGGGTTCATGATATTAAAATTTGTGCCTGGCATGCAACTCGGGCATTTGGACATAGCAAATCTGTGTGTTTTTTTTTTTGAACTCAAATACGATGAACGCATTCTTGAGTAGCACTTTTACCAGTTTGAGAGTTTAGCAGACTTTGAAGGAAACAGATCGCCGAATCTCGGATGGCCCACTGAGGGTCGCACAATCTCTTAGTCATGGTTTCACCAAGGACTATCATCGGATCTGTGTGCTTCAGCTCTGAGGCATACGCAGGCAACAACCGAGCAAGAACATCAAGGCATTTGGTGATGATCTAAAAGGAAAAATATCAGGCCCCACTTCTTGACATCTGCTATGTATCCTCTGTTAAATTGTTATTATTGGTTAATCAGTAAACCAGTCTGTTTTTTCAACTGCTTACACAAAGACTTTATTTGACATCCTCTCATTTTAGTTTAAATCTACCCAGGAAATGGTCATCTTCTCTGTAATTTGCCATTTTTTACGAGAAAGCTTAGCCACTCACAGTCGCATTAGATTCAGGGTTTTTCAAAACCTCCACTAGCTGAAGAAACAAGCTCATCAAGGTGGATTCAGCTAATCTGATGTTCCCTAAATAGAAAAAAAAGTATAGTCAAATAGGTCACTATTCAAAACATTTTGAGGACAGGTAAATGTACATTTATGGCTGCATGTTTTCCTTAAAGTAAACTGTTTGTGTCCAACAAGAACATCAGCTTTCTGACATGTCGGAAGAAAATTCCCCGTCATCGGGTTCCTCTGATTACGAAACGTGAGGGTGGTATTTCACAGGTCATTTGGTCCATACGGCAAAATAATGTGCTTTCTTACTGTATTGGATTGGATAAAAAGTGAGTGGAATTCCCAAGTACATTTGAATGCTTACATGATATACTCAACCTCAACCATCTGTTTGTTGAAGATCTAAATACTCCACATATCTTAGGTTTGTTCTGTTAACACGTTTGAGAACAAAATACAGCCATACTGGCCAGATTTGTGGTTTCAAAATATTACTCACTGCCGACCGTTGAGGCAATTGTTGTCACTGCTAAACTTAACACAGCTTTTGTAACCTTGACTGATGCGAGTAAATGACACCTCAAGGAATTGTGGACACGATGCGACCTTTGACCTAGGGTCAAACTCAGAATGTAGGATGCACAATCCATCAAATCGGTATGCTGGCTGATAACAGCGTACAAACCCTGCAGAAACCAAATATAAAAAGAGGAAAACTGAAAGACGGTAAGGGAATGCATAAGAGTATCCGAACATCCTAAAGATTGGACCATACTAAACCTGACAGATGTTTCTTGAAAAATACAAAAAAAGAATGCATAAGAGTATCCGAACATCCTAAAGATTGGACCATACTAAACCTGACAGATGTTTCTTGAAAAATACAAAAAAAATCCGAGTCAGTCACGTTCGCTTTATCAGTTCATGACTTACTTTTATAAGGCATGATGACACGAAGCCATGTAAATGGTTATTGATGTGAGATTGAGGTTATTGAGATAGGGATGTCATTTCTGATATGCATCTCTCTTTTTGACATTGAAGGCTGTTTCAAGGTTACAAGCAAGCTTGTACTAACCAAAGCACAAATGATACAAGTCTATGCCACACTTATGAATATGTATTTCTAAGTGAAGATAGATTCATGCATGGTGATTCCTAAATTTTCCACAACTTTAATTTAAAGACAATCTAGCGCTGAAGTCAGTGTTGGCCCTCTTGGAGCATGGCAGGCACAATAGGAAGGTGCTATTTGAAGGCGGTAAATTTGGAATATACACATATGATACTCCCTAAACCAAATAGCGCCCCCTACTGTGTCTGCCATACCCCAATAGGATAATTCCTATTTTTGGTTAGCATTCCATGAGTTTGTTAGGATTTACCTTATCAACCATTCTTTCTAATGCAGACAAACAATGACACAGTATTGTTATGCAACGGCATTTATGTCCAGACATATCCTGAAGCAGATGGTCTTTAGAGGTGTTGAATGCTGAAGGTAATTCCGCTATAGTTTGATGCTCAGGAAGCAGGCAGTCAATTGGAAGCATTACAAGTCTCAATAGCGATCCAAAGTCATCACTTTGCAGTTGTAAAATGGAGTCGTTTCTGTGAAAAAAAAAGGAAGTAGGGTGCAATCTCTATCAATGAAAGAAACATCGCAACTAGCTTATCTTTCCCAAACTTGACATAGAGTTGGTAGTCCCAAGTTACTGCACTTTTACCAAGAATTGATTTTAAAAAATGGCCAATTGAGCCACACATGTTTCTACAAGAAACACTTGTCTCAAAGGACATCTTTAATTGGTACATGTATTTAAAATATCCACTGCTTAAAATGACACATAACTTAAAGCATTATCATAATTGACACAAAACTTAATGCGACAATTGCCGACTTGCCTTCTCAACTTGGACAACTGAGTGGTACTGAAAACATTTGATGCCAGATGAATGGCAGCTACAAACTGATGAATATTCATGAGCTGAAACGGTAGACCAATCACAACAGCTAGAAGTTCACTCTCTGGATCGAGCGTTTGCAGGAATGACGACACAAAGTCCACTGCCGCACTGCACATGTCTGATGATATGTGGGACCTAGACAGAAGATCTGAGATGATAGATATTATACACATGTCCGCTAAGATTGAGTGAGCCACGGTTGGCTTTGATTCAACAAGTTTGGTTAAGACTCCCAAAGTTGCAGTCCCAAGTTTCATTCGGCAGTTAGTTGTACCCAACTGTTGTGGCTGTAGCGATGGAACTGGTGCCAAGATTTCTGTCATTTTCTGTAGACACGTCTTCAGCTGGTCGCGGCAATTACAACTTTGCTTCTCGATTGGATGTGCCTTACTCAAGTCAAGCCTACTTCTCTTCTGTGGAGATTCTATGTGTTCTTCGGTCTCATCCAGAGGCAAAGTAGCTCGCCGATCGGTCACGTCCGTGCAGTCGCGCTGACTGGTCATTTCATCTTTGCTGTACAAAGCCTGGTCTTGGGTTGTGCATGTGGTCACCCGGTTTACTCCAACACAAGAAGTGTGCATTGTTGTAATCAAGTCCACAAGGAATTGTTGCAAGGCAGAAACCACGAACAAACAGTTGTCTTCGAGGGAACTTACAGCAATGTCCACAAAATCTGACAAATATGAAACACAAAAACCAAATGTTATTAATTTGATGACATTTGACGCTTACCAACCTCTGTCAGAAATGTGTGAAATGGGTTTTTGCTGCAAGGTTTGGATTGTTTTTGGACAAGAAACTGATCATGTTTTCTTGTTCTCACTGTTGATGAAATTTACAGTTATTGAGAAATGTCGATTTTCAGACAGGTTTAAATTTCTCCTCTTCACAGATGTCACTTAGTACATTGCACTTTCAATATGCAGGTGAAAATTGACAAGCCTGCAGAACACTGCATCATTGACCAGTGAATATTCAAACTTAAATCACAGCATTCTTAAACTAAAAACCTACTGTGCCTTAGTTACTCAGCACAAAATGAATACCAATCGGTGTTTCTAGGAAATTATTGCCCACTTTTCCTTGTTTTTAAATAAGTGATCTTTGTCACATCTATCCGTACATGTGCTCAGTGTGAGAAATATCCATGACAAAATCTTTCTTTTCTCACCTAATCTCTGAGTGATTTCCGATGGGCACCCACTGCCAATCAGTGCTCCCGCTGAGGCAAACCAGGCATTTCGTATCGAAGCTTTTTGCCAATCCGCTGATTTGTAAGCACTCACGAGAAGCTGCTCAATTAAGTCACTCATCACAGAAACATACTTGAGGTGCAGGACGTTACTGCTCTCATGTGCATCAATGTCAAATCTTGGGCCGTCTCCTTCTGAATAGTCATTGGGCAGCTGAGTCATGGCTGAGTGTCTATTCAGTGAGTTCAGTAAAACAGCGGACAGTCTCAAGGCAAAGACGCGGCCGGCGAGGTTGCATTTTGGGTCCAGTGATTGCTGTAGAAATCTAATGACGCCAGTCTTCTTATCTAAAATCATCTGTAAGGCTGCTATCAATAACAAACAAATACATGCATACAATACATTGGAACTTTATAGCTTGCCGAGTTTGCTTTTGCGCTTACTTCATTTTGAAAGATTCAGTACTTTTGCAAAGTGTCTTTATAATTCAGATCACTGTAAAATTCATGCACTGATGAAACATTGCAGCGTAAACTAGGGCATTAATGAAATGAAAAGAGCAAAACTGTTGTTAGTTTTTCCGTTTGAGTCTGTTTAATCACAACCAAACGGCAAACGCATTTTGCGAACTCCACTTGGGACAGGGTTCCACACATAGACACCACCTGATACCCTGTGCACAAACTCTATGCGACTGGTCTGAAAAATACTGAGCGCCTTCTAGGTAAACTAAAGTTGACTTTTTATGACGTGTTATTGCCAGGATCACCATTCTGACAGCTGCGAGGGAAAAATTAGTGATGTCCGTATATGGAACTCTGTCGTTATGTGGTATCTCAGACTTCACTTCCCTGTTTCAAATCAATTGTCCACAATCATGAAAACTGTGAATTAGAGAAGATTTGGGTGATCATCTCATGGCAGGAAGGTAAGCAGATCATCCACCAGACATGGACCGATCGTACAGCTATCAAGCAGGATTGGATTGACAGACACACCCAACAAGATCAATTTGTTGTAACAAAACATGTTCAGATATGGTCATCATCAGGCAGGCATGTCAGGGAGATGACATTGTTACGCCCCAACTATAGCATAAGTCCCAACTATAGTTGGGACAGTCCCAACTGTAGTCCTGCAGTTGGGCTGGCCCAACTATTGTCAGACCAATGTCTGTGGGAAATGTCTCAACATTATCCAAGTCAATGTGTCTCACACTTGACACAATTCGTCTAAAATGTGGCACTTCATCTGTTCATCTAGCCCTATGACCAATGACATGACATTTGTAAACAATATGACTTTGGCACATGCTGGGCACATCATGCACACAGGACCTCTCTACTGTAGTTGGGCCGGCCCAACTGTAGCACTCTAGTTGGGACTGATGCTATAGTTGGGGCGTAACAATAATGGTTGAGTTTATTCTTACAAACTTCATACAAATACCTGGCGAGTTGGCCAGCTCTGTCATCCAGGATAAAAGCTTCTCTAGGCAAGTGTCATCGATGACCTTTTTGGAAGGGTCTAGAAGCACCCTCCACACTTCTGGCAGCGAATTCAGAGCATCACTACCGGCATCATTTGTGTCGTTACGCCTACGCCGCGTACTGCCGTCTCGAGGCAACTGTAACGTGGATTCTGCCATTGTGGATTCTGCCACTGCATCAACACCGCAAACTACCCCTTAAGCTGTAGGTCTAATAGAAAGTAGGTATGTTCAATTCATAAAACATTACTCTTAATATACCCTACATAGATTCAGTTTCACTTACTTCACAGAATCCAGTCCACCTCATTAGCTCAACACATATGTCACTTGTTCTGTAGGTAAGCTTGTGTCTTATCTAGTTGGTGCGTTCGATTAGCTTACGCGGGATGAGCTTGTGTACTGTGTCAAATATTAAACAGCCAGCGGAGACGAGGTTAAACTTACTGATCAAAGCTACTCGAACGTTGGTGGCAACCATGAGGGCGCCATTTTACTAATAAAGTCAAAACCCCTTTTCAACAGAGGGCGCAGTACAACTTTTGAACAGCGCACGCCGTTTTAATAAAAAAAATAGAGGGCGTACTTCAATTTTGCTGTAGTTGCAATCTTTAAACTGCTATTTCTAAGCCCACTAGAGAGCGCTGTTCAAAATATCAAGAGAAGGCGCTAAATATTTAGTCAATAGACTGGTTCCTGAACGCAACCTAGTCTCCAGACATCCTTCAAACGCCGATTCGAGATGACTGATAAAGTGCACGAGTCTATCGGAGATCCGAGTTTCGATCCGGAAAATGCGATTAAATCATCGTCAAGGGTCTTGACAACTGTTGGTAAGACTGAATAAACGTTTAAAAAAATAATGACTTTTACAGTAATAGTGCATGGATATTTTTGACCCAAGGGATTGCAATTTGGAAAAAAAGTCCCCTTTAATGGGGACGTTCTCTCTTTTCTGCTTTTTTATTTGGGAAACTGGTGTTGTCCCCAAATAAAGGGAATTCCCCAAGTCCAGGGAAAGTCCCTGAGTTGTGATCTGCGCCGCTGTTGAACAGAAGCAGCATCAACTTTACTTGCAGAACTGTAAGACACAGCCCTGGGTGCCTCCTACCCAACAACTTTTTATGAGTTTGTATTACATGCATGGGTCATTGGTCATGAGTTTTCAAATGCAGTCAAGTTAGGTCAGATTAATCAGGCAGTCAGCAGGTCAGGCCTGGGTGGGGTAAGTGTGGATATCAGACAGCTGTAATTCTGCTTTCTCTATCAGATCTTCCCTGCCAAAGAAGTACAGCCCTAATATGATCTGGCATGATCAGCCAATCTGTGCAATCCACATACTTCCACTATCATCCAATCGCCCTTCCTTGCGAAATTGCCCTTTGCAAACCCCCCCCCCATCAACTGGCTCCCGTACCAACTCACCCCTTTCCAACTGGCCCCTCTGAACTCAAGGTGGGCTGCTGAGTGCAAGTCCTAGACGGTACATAATGGGTCAGGAAAAAGTCATTTACATTTAAAATTAATTTGCATAAAATTGGTCAATTTCACATAGAATACTTGAAAGTCAAAAATCAATGCAGGAAGACATGAAATCATCAATTTGTAAAAGCAGTATTGAAATGAGATTCCAGAAACAACTGATTACTACATCAAGGGCTGACTTGGGCAGACAGTTGTCTTGTTGGAAAAATTTATATTATCCCAATGGAGAAATAAGAAGTAACACAGGCCATAGTATAAGATTAGAATTGTGGATTAAAAACACCCATAACACAAACTAAACACAGACTTGATGAGAACCAATGCATTTTGCAAAGCATAAAATTTAGCCAGGGGGCGAGTGGGTAAGAGGTTGAGGTGTCAAGGGGGTGAGTTTGTAAGGTCAGTCAGGACATGAGTTTAGAATGGGGTGAGTCAGCTTGGAGGTGAGTTGGTCAGGGGGCAAGTTGACCTGACATCAGACCCAGTGATTATTGGGTTAGCTTTGAAAGCACGTTGTCGTGGGATCAAACCCCAGTTGGACCATGATGTTATAATGTCATTTTTGCCCTACTCTAAAATGTCTCAATATCTTCCTTTAGTATTTGAAACTGATGTCAATGTTGTATTGCAGGATATCTGACTTTTCTTGTTCCTGATCTGTGGCTATGGAGGATTTTTTTCAAATGAGATATAAAGTCAAAAATTAGACAAGTCCTGAATTCCATTTTGTAATTATGATTTCACAATGAAAACAAAGATTTGTTGCAGTAAATGGTCAAGGTCCCCAAACACTGACTGCTCTCATTCAGTTGCCATGGCAGCAGACAAGCAGAGCAAATTAGTACTGTCTGCTCTATAAACAATTTACATTTACTATCACTGTTAAAAACAGAAAGGCGTACTGTCCTCAAAACCTACACGTATCATGTTTGCAAATTTGGTAACTCAAAAATGTTC